ATATATATATATATATATATATATATATATATATATATATATATATTACCATTGACATTTTATTGTACGTTGTGTGGTTAAATCAGTGGCATAGCCTCTTTTTGAAAACTCAGGGTAAAGGAGCAGAGACAATTTCTGTAGGTAATTAGTTCCCATGTCTAACATTCAATTGGACTCTGCTTTCTGTAACTTAAATCCGCTGTTTTGTGTCCTGTGTCCTTTTGGTGATAAAGAAGCGGTCTTGACCTTCTGAGCATCATCCTTTCAGGTATTGAAGTGTGCTATTACATCCAGCTCAGTTATTTTTTTCTCAAGGCTAAACATTCCCAGTTCTTTTAATTCATAGTTTCTACTTTCCAGGGCATTCTCTTTCATTCCAAGAAAAACATACTAATTTCATTGTGAATGAAACATTATTTAAATAGTTACTTTCACATCAGACTTGGTCTATCAACAAGAAAAGCAGAAAAAATGAATTCTCATGCAAACAAGTTTTAATACAAACATAAAGCCATAGAGAGAGTTCTAGGAACATCTTTAAAGATATAGACCAGAGCAGGCAATCTTTCTGCAACTGTTGAATGCAATTTTCCACTAAGGAATGTGGCAGCAGTGTAGTGATAACACCACAAAAGACAGAGCTCCTTAGAAGAGGAAAGGTAGTCAAGAGTCTGCAACCACAAACAGAGATCAGAAAGTGTCTACAGGAGCAAGAGAGATTTTTCAAGGGAGCTGAGAGAGAGGAGAACAAAAGAACAGGGCACTGAAATAATCACACCATTAAACCTAAATTAATCATCATTACAAATCCAGAGATGTGGATGTGTGATGGTTGTGTAGATCACATGATGTCCCTGGTATGAAGGTTGCTGACATTAAGCGTCATCTAGATAAGCTGTTGGATAATGCACAGAAGCCAGTGATAATGGTTCACATTGTTCTCCGTGACATTAGAACAGGGGTGTCAAACTGGCACTGCATAAGCCAAATGCGTCACTTGCAGGTCATGCCCACCCCAGCTCCACGAAAGGAAAAACATTGCAAGACATCATGTGATAGCAACATGATGTGGTTAGTTTGACATCCTTGCATTAGAAAATTGTTGTGTCTTGGAATGGTAATACTAGACAGAAAGGCTGGCATGTGTTATGCACTGGGAAACTTTTTGGCACAAACCAAATCTCTAAAAGAGACATACTTCCACATGAACCAAAATAAAACCAAACTGCTGACACAGTAGCATCAGAAAGATGCTTAAAGCAGATTTAAAATACATCTCTGGGGAAAGATTAACAGATGATGGATGAGATCTAGTTCAAAAAGGTGACGATGTTTCAGAAAAGACTTTAAAGGTGTGGAATCAATACTGAACATAAGTTAATGGGTAGATATGACAGGAGATGACCAAAAAAGATCATAGTACATTTGAAAAAGAACATGGTATAAAGGTGTCCATATCAATGCTAGAAGCCTCTGAACCAAAATTGAATTATTTATTGTTAAGAAAATGTCCTGGTTAGGATGCTCATATGTAAAGCTAGAATTAGAATGTTGATATATAAGCATTGGCACTGTTTTACTTTTAGAAGATTGGGAGCTTTTTAAAATAAAAAAACAAACTTTTTAAGCCTATTTTTCCTTCCATTTAATCATGTCCAATTTTTGAAGACTACCTGGAGAAACTTCTTGGCAAAGGTTTTCAATGATTTTGCCATTGCGTCCTTCCTAGTGTTGAAAGAAATGTCCCTCTGGGTTCGGCTCCAAGTGGGGAAAAAGACACTGGAGACATGGAGGCTGCTTNAGTGGCAAACAGCCAAGCCTGTGTTCTGGTTTATTCACAGGCCAGGGGGCCAGAACAGCTAGGCTTGGTGATATTTCTGTGATTCCAATACATTTCAATGGCACAAAGTTGGTAAGGCTGCTTCATTGACTAAATGACATGAAAAAGTATTTATTTTAAATATTGATGCAAGTTAGATGCCATTGCATCTGCCCTTTGTAACATCTTACCCCCTGCCACCAGAGTAATCTCCAGCCTTTCTCACCTTCCATAAGAGCTGAAACATCTTGGCTAGGGGCTCCAATGGAGGGGTTTCACATTTGGGGTGGCTGATAGATTAACAATGAATCCCACCCTCTTTCTCATTATATTTCCTCCCTCCCCATCTTTTTAGCTAGATTGATTTTTTAATAATGTTGTATTTATATTATTCAGTTTTATACAGGTCTGTATTTTAATATTGTAAGCTGCTCAGGATTAGGGTGCGGTAAAATAGGCGTCCAATGAATTTTATAAATAAATAAGTAGAAGCAGATTTTTTTCAAGAAGATTCAACCTTGATTACCATTTATTCTAGAATGCTGCCTCATACCGAAACAAATCAATATTATATGTATCAATGTAATTATCTACATGATGAGGGGATTCCTAATCACATGGACTTCCACGACTTAAGGTTAAAGTTCCTCATCTCCTACCTAAGACTTCTTGTTTACAATGCATATGTTCTACCATTAAGCCATGGTTCTTCTGGTTTCATATATAGAAAATTCAATAGTCAGCAGGCTTTTAAATGAGATTGATAACATATCCATTGTTTCTTTGACGGGCACCATATTATTCATGCAGTATATTCAATAAGCTATTTGATGTGTTTACGTATGAGCTATGTTCATGATTTCATGTCAGCTAACTTTAGGAATGTATGATAGAAGCAGCAGCATCGTTGCAAATAAAATTGTGAATAACAGTCTTAAACCCCTTCAAATATATTCTTCGCTGTGATCCTTATAACATTATGCAGAACAGGCCAGCTCTGTAATTCTTATTATTGTGGTTGGCAAGGTGAGAATAAGCAATAAAGATTTGATTAAGTCCAGTTTATGAATTCATTAGAGAGGCAAGATTCAAACCTGGAAAAATGTGGTCTCGTTACTTTGGATCACAGAATATGATTCTAGGACTAGATCATGCCTGTGACCTGATAGATAGTCATTTCTTCTCCAATAGATTAGATGTAAACTTCTGCAGTCAGAACAAATACAATAATTAACAGATATGTTTTAACTACCTTTTTAGAAATTAAAAAGCCCACTATATATGTGTGCAGATTGCTATATTTTCTAGCTGCTCCCCCCTTTCCCCTTCCCAAAGACATTAACTTCTTATACTCTCATTACAAGATTTTGAATGAATATTTTATTTGACTTTTAAAAGCCATCATTCTGTATTGGGAGAAATTATAATTGGTTTCTCAAATCCTGTCCTACATCTTGCACACAGCCTAGTAATTTATCTGTTGAAACAGAAATAATGTCACTGCAGCAAAATCTACAACACAGCACAGGGTTAAACCTCCCAGAATCATGAATGTGCTGAGGGAAATTTTGTGCCCAGTTCCAATTACTCTTTTAAAGTAACTTTTTACATGTCCAATTAATTTTGATCTACACTCTACCTCTCCACCATTCCCACCCACCCCATACAGCATGTATTGCTCCCACAGGATTTTCAAAGGTTAGAACAGAGACTAGCTGAAGTCTGAAGTCCATATAAAGTTATTTATTTCCTTTAAAAA